CACAGTGTTTGATTTACATAGTGGATTGATCAAGCCTGTCGATTTAGGAGTGCAACCTCTCAGTCCATATGAAGCACACCTAAAAGAACATATTTTATGTCGTATGCATGACGAACTCTCCAGAATTATCAAGGAGAACTGCATCACATGGAAAACTGCATCATTACAGACAGTACAAGAACATGCAGAAGATATCGTCAACCCTAGAGAGTATGTCACCCGCCAGGCCGACCGGCGAATATCATCGCGCTGCTCTCCAACTCGGTAGTGACACTGGTAGAGCGGTCCACCACCGAGGCAGAGGAAATCAGCAAGTAGGCCAGCACGGCGCTCACTCTGTGCGCGTCCGTCGCTGTCTCCCAGGCGAGGATTTCCGCGTGGGTGACACAGATCCAGCGCCACCTGCAGCAGGCGTCTGTTACGGAGACGACCAGAAAAGTGCTACTGGACGCTCCAATCAGCCCGTACGGGCTGTTAGGACCCCAGTTCCACGCCATGGTGGAGTCCATGAAGACGGCCGCGGAACAGGCGGACGGCATTCGCCAGCATGTCAGCTGGCTCCAGCCTGCTGAGCGCCCACAGCGGCACCAACGCCCGCAGCAGCCGCGGCGTCCACGCCGGCCACAGGAGGCCGCAAGCAGAGAGACGCCCACAGCAACCGCCTCGGCGTCAGACTCGCCCTTCGGCGGCTGCAGGGGCTCCGTCCCACGTCTCCGCTCCCCCGCCACCCTAGAGATAGGGTCTCCCAGTGGCGAGTCAAAGGGGAGTGAGGCTCCCCCGCTCCTGGTCTGCTCCGCGAGAGTCACCACGTCCTCCTTGGCTGTAGAGTACGGGAAGAGACAACTCACCGGGCGGAAGAGATGTGTTTTTACGCTCCCTCGTCCGTATAGGCTTGCCGCTGATAACAGACCAAGACCTATAAGGACCGCGCGAGCGCGCGCGCTTTGCGGTCCTAAGGACACAAACACCCTACTTACCGCAGCACCTCAACGTAGGAAGTCCAAACCTCACTGCCAGCAGGACGCACTTGGAAGGTCGTGCGACAAACAGCGAGCGGTACACCTATCGACTGTCTAGCTCCTCACACAGAGTAAGGGTCAGAACAAAGCCCTAATCTTTTATTGCCTCACTGTTGGGACGTAAAAGGAGTGAAAACTCCTGGGACCTTATAGGAGAAATTGTCCTCAAGTCGTCGAGCCTAACCTCGCGTTCTGTATCGAAAGACCCTATTGTCCAACAAAGGCATAGGTGAACTTGACATCCCCCCGCCCTCCGCTTGACGGTCCTGCATAGGAGACGACTAGTCGGGACGATAAGGTAGACCCAGAGTCAGTGGCGCGACGGCGTGAGACTCTTTTGAGACCTCCTCGCCCGCGGTGGCACGAGCCTCACAAAAAACCAGCAGTACCACGTGCGTCCGCCTGTGCGGGCGCTCGGGACGCGCGAAGGCGCCCTCCTTTGTTCCACACGAACCTGGCGTTTCCCGACGGCGCCCCGGAAGGTGTGCGACCGACAGAGTGAGGGCTGAAGAGTGTACTCCGCGCATGTGCGAGCCCCTACGCTACCTCCACACACTCTGGGTTCACGACGGGGGTACTCCCGCAATTGCCGCGGAGTACCCAAGATAATTCCGCACACATGCTCCGCTATAGAGCCTGCTCTCCTTTCGGCGCTCCGGTGAGCCGAGACGGATCAAAAAGATGGTTGTCCAAGTTGGTCCCCGGAAGACGCGCTCGGGGCGACAGATGATAGTTGGTCTAACCACCGCGCCGGAATAGATCTCGCGAGACCTGTACGGATAATTGCTGCCATGTTTGTCCGAAATCCGTTGCCGGGACGGGACCGGATAATTGCTGTCGCAATAATCCGCGGACTCAAATGTGCCCGGCACTCCTTGGGTCCACCCCGGAAACCTGGCGTCCCGACGCGCCCCCCTCCACACACGTCACGACGGTACTGCCGCATATCATATTGCCGCCGGAGTACCGCCAACATATACGGCGACACATCGCTCCGTCATACGAGCCTGTCTCCGTTACGCGGCTCGAGACGCCATAATGCTCCAATTTGGACCCCGTCCGAAGACGAGTCGCTCGGGAAAACGAGCCAGACGTCCAATAGTTGGCTCAATTTTGGCCGTCCGACGTCGCTCGGCGACCAGATGAATTAGTGTCATCCGTCGGGCTCAGATAATGTCGAGACGTCAATTAATTGGCCTATCCAATTGTGGTCGCCGAAGACGTCGTTCGCGGACCGCCCGGCACCGCGACGCCCGACGGCACGCGGCCGACCCCGTGAGTCGGAGCCTAGACAAGTAAGGGGGCAAGACCGAAGAAACACTGACACGACACGACCAGCAGACACCACTGCTCGGTGCGGTAACGGGAGCGGCGTCGACGGGCACTCCGTTTTCCCGACGCTCCTCGAAGTGTGGCGACGCAAAGTGAGGCTGACAGGTCAGTACTCCGCGCAGTGGCGGAGTCCCTACTCACCTCGCAAGACACAGCGGTTCACGACAGCGTGTACTGCCGCAATATTGCCGCGGAGTAGCCATACATAGCTCGGACACAGATCAATTACTTCCGGATTAGAGCCGTGCCTACTTACATCCGCTCGAGACGTCCAAAATTGGCTCCATTTTGGTCGTCGGAAGACGTCGCTCGGGACGACAGATGAATTAGTTGTCTAATCACCGCCGGCCGTATTAATGGGCCGAGACGAGA